ATTACAATATCACGAAATAAGAACATAACGAACAGAAACTATGGGAACAGCCAATAGAAAGCGTGGGTTTATAGCCTGAGCCCCGCCTCCACAGGCATTAAGACACACCCAATACTGACAGCCATTTCTGTTTTATCGATACCTCTATTAATGTGTAATCGATTTGAACACAGATTTTATGAAAATCTTTTGATTCGCTTTTGAATGAAACAAAAGTCTATTGTTTTGATTGATAACAATGTGTCCAACATTTGCATCCAATCGCCGGTAGTGTGAGTCGTGTCCACTCATTAGAACCGATGACAACCCCAATGATGGCCAACACAGCCAGCGATCGAGAGTTGGCCCAACTTCTGGAGGAACCGCCGCGAAAGCGAAGGGCAGCCGCTTTGGCCGCACAGAAGAACTGGCAGTTACTCGAAGTGGACGACAACCCCACCGACGATGACATCATTATCGTTGAACACAGACAGGCCGTCACCACTTCCGCCAACACCGCCGCCAACACATCCCATGTGAACAACAACCACAACAACACCGCTGTATATCCCGCCCAAAGGCCGGGCCCCGCGTCCAAGAAGTTGCAACACTTAGCGCAGCCACAGGTGATCACATTCAGCACAAGCAGTGGTCGAAGTGTCAGATCTCCCATTGTGTTCGGCGGTCCCGCGGGAGCCAACATTCGGGTGAATCAGTTTGTGATCAATCCCTTGACGTACAGTAACAGCAATAATGCGGTGAATGCCGTGAAAGCGACCCGAAGTCAAGCGCAACAACAATCGCGAGTCAACGCACAGCCGATGGTTCGCATCGAAACCGAGAACTCGAGTCGACTCATCCCTCAGACACCGAGCGGTCAGTCTTTTAAGAAACCCGTTGTCACAAAATTACACGCAAACGAACCCATCGTTTGGCCGGTTGTCGACGGAGACGTCGAGGAGATTGTCGGCACTTATGATGTGCTCGAAGAGGATTTGAATCTCAAATTGACGTCCGAAGAGACGGTCAATAACTTGGACTTAGAGTTGTTTTGCGGACCCGATGTCGACGAGAAGGAGAAGACATCGACTGAAAAGGATAGTGACGTAGAAGTGGTTGAAGAGACGGTGAACGGGTCGGCGGCGACCACTCCTAAGTCCACTCCGCAGAAGAAAATTATACCGAAAAATAAGAAACCAATTGACGGACACTTGGAGTCCGTAATCGGAAGTCTTGAGATGGACTGCGAGAACTTCGACGACGACTACACCGACGGTGTCTATTGTGAGTGCGAAGAAGATATCTTGAATTTTAATCAATGGAACCGATCGGTGGCCTCGAAGAAGGAGTTCAACGCCTACAAGGCGTCTGTGGTTTCCACCAAAAATGTGAAATATTTGCGCGAATCAGAAGTGACGGAACCGTTGGGTTCGGTGACAGTTGTGGTCAGCGAAACATCACGAGTGTTGACCACAACACCAAAGCCCTTAGCGGTGGTGCGAATGCCTCGAAGCAAACAAAACGTACAAACGAGTCAATCCATACGTAATCCCATTCCATCCGTCGGAATAAGACATAACACACCTCGAGCTCCGAATCAGTATCAGTACCGACAACAAAGTCCAGCGCAGAGTCCAATGGTTACCTCACATCCCATAACATTAGTGCCGTCGACATCGATGGGAACGACACAGCCGTTAATCATAGCGCCGATGGCCTCCAATCTAATGGGAACCAGTCTTTTGCAGAACGGAATGCAAGTGAT